GAAAAACTGAAGTTAACGGAGAAGTTCATGGAGGTAGGCCTAGGCCCACTGGGGCTGTAGTGCCAAGGGAAAAAAATCTTAAATGTTCATATCGTCACCATATTTGTAATTGTTGACTGATAAACATTAAGTCCTTCTTCATTGATATCTGTTAAGCATCTATAAGAATAGGTCTCTGTATAAGAGTTGACATCGTTAATCCCAATGGTTTATTGATTATCGACATTAAACCGAAAGCTAAACACAGATATCTTTACACTTCACAAAAATAATAAGTAAGTAAACATGTAAGACTAATATATTTCTCTAAGATCGATTACCATACGTCAGTTTAGGAATATATTTTAAATGTCGCTACTATCACTCCCAACTCAGAAGTTCACGAGTCCTCTATGTTGTCACTACAGGGTGTAAGAAAACAGAATCTACGGAATCTGAGTGGCATCCAATGGCCCAACCGAAGTTAAGACTTTGTCTTCAAGGTCACAAAGAAAGGCAACCAATCTTAGAAACAAGCAGCAAAATTAATATTAATCAGTCGTGAACCTTAAAGGGGCCCATACACCTACGAATCTGGCTCAGCGAGCTTGACTCGGGAGCTGGGCTCGGATTAATTTCACCACCCACGTATGAGCTGACTCCCAACTTTGCAACCCACACACGGACGAGTTTGGCTCATTGGAACCCGAGCCGAGTCGGACTCGCGAGCCAGACTCGTACGTGTATGGGCCCCTTAAGTGTCAAAGCAACCGCAGTATCAAAAAGCTTCAAGTAGCATTGGTCACACTGTATGTACCACGTACTTTAACATGTAAAGGCTTAGATTTGCCCACGCAGTGTACTAACGCGTTTGTGCTCTTCTCATAATAAGGATACCATTGTGTAAGATTTGAGACTTTCACGGCGATGACTATGAAGAAAGCAGTCTTCTGGGATTTGGCACCGTGTATATGTGGTGTTAACCGACGTTTCGGAGGAACGTATCGCCTCCATCTTCAGACACAGTCTGCTTTTACCGGTTCTCACGGTCTCTCCGCTTGCAGAATTCTTATATTTTTTCTTCTACCCTGAAGATGGAGGCGATACGTTCCTCCGAAACGTCGGTTAACACCACATATACACGGTGCCAAATCCCAGAAGACTGCTTTCTTCAAAGATACCATTACCCGGCTGGCTTCATAATGTTGCGCCATTTTGTTATGTGTGAGGTAGGAACTGAAATACAAAATTATATTCATATCGGTTCGAGGCCTTAGAGGGTTACTGTACTTGGAGCAGTTCTTCGAAGTCAATATGTCTGACAACACAAATACTGGTAGAGAGAATAACACCAGGGTTGGTCTCATGTTTTTGTAACACAGTTCATGACGCGAAACAATAGTCCCCAGAGCTGAGGGGACACGTCACATAAAAGTCACGCTCGAGTCAGGAAGCTTGATGGAACTACTTCATGGGTTTCTAATCAAATAATTGTTCTCTATCGTCCAGTAATCTCACATTTACCATAGAATTGCTCATTCCCCTCAGTCTGGACACAGCCAGGCGGAACCGCGTGACGCTCACCCGAAACACCGCCACTTGCTTTCTGGGACCGTGTGGCGAAATCACGGCGGGGTCTACAAGGGCGTGCAGGCATCCTTACAAATTTCGGTTATCGATTTAAAGAGGGAAAATGACGTCAAACAAGCTGTGTTCTATTGGCTTATATCTAACGTGGAAATTAATATTCACGTAAGTTCTTTACACTATGAAATATTTTTGGATGTCCCATGCACACAGCCTTTACGAACCGGAGATCTGATAGTTGCATTTTGGTTCACAGACTTCGTTGCAGGTGTGCTCAGCGGCCGAATTACATATACAGAGCGAAGATGAGACAGAAGCTATCATAAGTATCAGCTCAGACATCTACCGGCAGTCGTTTTAAGCCCAAACATTACGGCTATAGAGGCTCTCACATACAGTGCTGAGACGTGACGCCGTGAAGTCCAGAAGAACTTCATCGGTTGTCACTGATCGTGTTCGTTACTTGTCCTCTGTCTTCAACCACGAACACGGATGCAGGGCGCTACATCTTAAAGTGAGTAAACGTCTACAAGACTGCACGGCACCACATACCGGTAGATAGCGCTCTTTATTTACTTTACTTGTGTATTTTTATAATGTAACTATGTTACAGCAGCGCTAGAGTTTTAAATAAAAGTTAATATGAAAACCGAAAACTTTAGTGAAACCCCGTACATTTTGGGCAGGTGCACACATTCGTGACACACCTGTCTAGGTATAAGGAGGGCAATCCTTCTGTAGAATGTTCATTACAGCTTCACTAAAGCCTACCGAATCCAATCCACACCCCTACATTCTGTTTCTCTAACAAAAATAATTAATAACATCCTTCCATCTGCTCCTAGGGTCAGACTTCCCATATATTTTTGCATTCAAATTTATTCTCTCCCATTTATGCGACATGACTCTACAGTTCAGTATTCCTTCAGCCCATCGGTCAAGCAATATTTCGTGTAGTGCATGCTCCTTCTTCACACCGTGTTGATCCAAGTGTTCCCGTCAACATCCTCTCTCTGAGCAGCGTCAAGGTACAGAGTACCTAACCTTCTGCAGTGCTGTGGTCACTATACGCATCGCCTGGTTTTAAAACCAAATATCTGCACTTTATCGTTACAATCTATTTCGAATATCAGAGATCATTCTATGCAAAGAATGAAAAGACTGTTCTTTTTAATGATGATCCCCTGTTTTCTGTGAGATAGGAACTGCAGTTTCAAATACTATTAGGTGACGTTTGCCTTCAACCCGTCATCAAATTCCAGTTAAATATGGGATGCATTAGACCAGTCACATCTGTCGTGGTTGTGAAGCATGGGCCTATACATACAAATGTAAAACTGAGAAACGCCATGTGATAAAAAAAAATAACGTGCTTAAATATGACAGAAAATTATACCACAGAATCAAATTTTAATTTCTTACATGCAGATTTCGCAGTTCTAAAACTGGATGAATATCTCCACCTTTATATTCTGGCATGTAACCCCTTGCTAGGCAACGACCTCGAAACAAATGAGACAACGGCTACTGCTAGGCAACAGTTTCGTAAATATCCAACCGCACACAATGGAAATACTGTTGAAAGCGGTGTTTTCTACGTGGTTCGCTCTGTGACTATATCAATCGACCGACCGAGTACAGATCAGTTACACCCGTGTGGAGGTGGGGTCGAATACCCCCACCGTGAACCTGCGAATCGTAGGAGGCGACGAAGAGGGAAGTCTCAAATCTGAAAGAGTAAAATATGGTCGCGAGTACCAAGGGACTCGGACCTGTGAAAGACTGCGCTGGCAAGGGCCAGCAGCATATACAAAAGACATGCCCGTCCTCTCGTTAAAGAGGGCGCCCCAAAAAACAAGACCGTAACTGTCAAACAATAATAAATATTTTGTCATGAGCTCCAGAAGGGGTACACATAATCAACTTACTGACTGACTGACTGACTGACTGACTGACTGAGCGTCAGTCGCAAAGTGACTTTCACAGTTGGGTACAATGGAGTGAAGTAAGTTGGTTGGTGAGTTAGTGAGTTATAGGACTGCTGCGGCTCAGTCGCTGTGAGCTGTTGCTGTTAGAAACCGGTAGCTGAGGCACGGGGACAGTTCGGGAACCCAGAGTGAAGGGAACGTGCGCTGCTGGAAGCCGGCCAGGATGGACTTCCAGTTTTTAATTAGTTTCGTGTTCAAGAACGAGACAATTTTCAACGCCATATACACGAGATTTGAAGTTCCATGCCGGCAGGTATTGATATACAGTCTTATAAGACGTTAAACCGTGTAGTTTGGTAGACAGGTACGAATATTTCGAAGAAATTTCCTGCCTCAATCTTCTTATAATATGAAGAGTCAAACAAGGGATTCCTGCGGGACCTGAGCACGCATCCTCCAAAATCCACGGCCTCGGCAACCACTGAACCATACACTTAAGCACCAGGCCGTGCCATAGCTCAGGCGGTTAGTCGCCGACTTCCCACCGCTGCGGCTCGGGTTCAATCCCAGGTCAGGTCATGTGGGATGCGGTGGACAAAGTGGCACTAGGGCTGGTTTTCTCCTAGTACTTTGGTTTCCCCTGCCAATTCTCATTCCAACGACTGTTCCACATTCATCATCATCTATCATCCGAGGCTGGTACATTGGGACAAACAGTTGCCGACGTACCAAGTGGACTCTGTCACACTTTACCATACGAAATTAAAAAAAAAAGTAATCTTAAGGGGCCTATACACGTACGAGTCTGGCTCGCGAGTCCGGCTCGGCGGGCTTGACTCGGGAACCAGGCTCGGATTAATTTCACCACAAACGCCAGAGCTGACTCCAAATTTTGCGACCCACACACGGACGAGATTGGCTCATTGGAACCCGAGCCGAGTCGGACTTGCGAGCCAGACTCGTACGTGTATGGGCCCCTTTACTCACTAAACTCATTATGTCAGCAATACACTCACCCGGCCTACTGAAAGCTTCCGCTTGTCTTGTGAACACAAACACGACGAAAAGAAATTCGGTAACAGACTGTCCATAATGTGAACCCTTCTGTGGAAATAAAGTCGACAGTATTACAAAACATGTGTCCTGGGACGCGTGGTTTTCGAGGAGCAGGTTACCGTCAAATGGGGCAATATACTTCCAGGCAATGTTATTTGTCACCACAATACACAGTGCGTTCGTAGGTGTACTGAGGGCAGGGATGGGTTGTGAGACAATGCAACATGCCCTTAAGCCTCGGTACCTGCAACAGCCAAACTAGCAATGCTACACGGGAGTTCGCGCTATGATTGCGGGTCGCCCGGAGACCGGACGGACACCTGCCAAAGCAGTGGAATAAGAATCGCAGAGAAGTTCACGAGATATCGCAAGAATAAGTTCTGTACTTCAGGAGTGTTATCCCTCCCGTCCTCTCTGTCCGATGTAATTATTTGAGAACAACAGAAATTAATAGAAAATGCATAAAGAGATCTAGACTTAGAGCCCTTAATTCTTCACAAGAGAACTACCACATTTTGGGTTCACACACGAAAGACTTAAATTAAAATAATGGTAGAGTAGTTGCTAATACTAAACGGTAAGTACCTACGAGTGTTCACAACCCTTTTATATAAATTCATGATTGCTGCTTTATGTATTTTATAAACATTAAACATATTCTCGCATCATAAACATTGTTACAGCTGTGTTTTGTTTCGGGAGGAGAAAACGTGTGTGTGAATCCCTTCGTTCGCAATGCAAATGTGTATTCGATACGTCAGAAAAGTCACGGAGGGAGAGGACATCAAAACGGGTGCTATCATATAGAGTGAATAGAATGAACTGGCCGCCACTGTACACTATTTTATTAGTTAGATTCTGAAGGGTTCAGACAAAGGTTTATATCACTCAGAATTACTGGGTTTTGGGGCTTTGCCCATCCTCCGGTATTTTAAAATCTAGAAAACACAACGTTTCGGAAAATTAATGTTTCCTTCCTCAGGTGAGCGGGGAGACACCTCTGTTGAGTCCCTTAATAAGAGCTAACCTCAATCACCGGACGAATGTAGTCACAACAGATGTCTAACCCCTCACTTGAGGAAGGAAGTAGATCCAGTATCCGAAACGTTGTATTCTCTATTTTCTAGGATATAGGACGATGGACAAAGCCCAAAAATCCAGTAATTCTGATCATTTGTTTAATGTAAGCTTAAATTCCTAATTTTCAGTCCAAATGGATTAAAGACATGTTTGCGAATGCTGAAATTATTCATGCAATGCTTCATGCCACGGTGCTCTACATTTGATTAAAAATTCAGTAGAAGTTCTACAGTTTTGATAGTTCCCCACAAATGGCACATTATGGAAATACGGTACTTCATAGAATTGTGTAGGCTTACACTAGACACATCTGTTTTTTCTGAATAAAAGTGTTAATAAATGATCACAGTGCTAAAGTGCAAAGGTAGTATCGTGTTTATCCCTTCTCTGCCTGAGTGAGGTCCTGCCAAATGCTCTGAGGAAGATCCTCAGCTCTACCAACAGCTGAACTAGTTACACATCACCTTTACGTCTCTTTCATAAATTAAACCCTTAATTATTGTAATACAACACCAGTTGAGCTTACTGGGGCCCAACAACAGAAAAAAGACAAAGGAAAGGAGTGACGGTCAACACGTGGCAAGCTAAAGGAGTACGGGAAGTAATTAAGGGACGGTTATAATACATATTTCATGTAATTATATCACTGTTTTCCAAAAGTTTTTTTTTTCCTTGGCACTACAGCCCCAGTGGGCCTAGGCCTACTTCCATGAACTTCTCCGTTCACTTCGGTTTTTATAGATCTTACACATTCGGTAGGACTCCTTGGGCGTGTGATCAGCTCTTCGCAAGGCCTCTACCTGTACACAAACACAGAAAAACGCAGCACACATACAAACTAAACATCCATGCCCTTAGTGGGATTCGAACCCACGATCCCGGTTTTCAAGCGAGCGAAGACAGTACATGCCTTTCCAAAAATTTACGTCGTAATATTTTGTTGATCTTTGCAATGAAAATGCAGTATGTTTTCTGAGGTAATAACTTAATTTTTACGTATCATTCGATGATTCTGTGTTTCAGATGGTTCAGGTAGGTAGTACAATCATTACTACGGGCATTAAAGAGTTAAATAACATCATACAATAATCCACATAATGCTAGCGTTATTAAAGGTGACTGTTGATGATTCGGGACAACAATAACGTTGGTACTGGTGATGTAACGTTATTACAGGGCCGATATGTCTGAGTTGCCACAAATAATAACCTTTTGTCACCGCGGAATGTATGTAGCCTTTCATTTTGATAGTTTTGAAAAGCGCCGTGCAAGTCAGGGTGACCCAGACACGCAACATACAACCACAGCACAGAGCACTCGCCTTTTCAGCACTACGGGAACTCGGCGGTTGGTACCAAGTTACGGAGAAATGGGGTTGGAAGCACTGTTTGCTTTGATCTCAGTATTACTGTGCCTGCAAGAAGCTATCCCTCAGAATCTTGAAGTAAGTAAAATCAGGTTTCCACACACTGCGGTTAATTGAAGCCAACTCGGTGTATAGGACTTCGTGAGTTTGTAAGTTCGAGGATTTCTCCGAGTACTTCGGTTTCCCCTGCCAATCTTCATTCCACCAACTGCTCAAAAATCACCCTCACCTATCATCTTGGGCTGGTACAATAGGCCAGAAGTGGTCGCAGCGCAAGGGACTTAGTCCCACCCTACTAGCAATAAAAAAAGTATTAGATGGGCTACATTAGGGTGAAATTTTTGTGGGCGTGGGTTCGAATCCCACTTCTGACACTAGTTGTCACGTGTTGGGTACGTCACGCGACAAACAACTTTACGTGGGTCTCGGATTTAGCGAATATTTATTGTGCTTCACTTATACACTCACACACTTTAAAATTATTATCACTTGCAGTATCATAATTACTGCTCCCACTATATCTCGGCCAATACTAGACTGCTTTCGGCGGCGGTCTTCTGAAGACTGTCTTCCTGATGTCTTCGTCTATATTGTATGGCGTCTAGGTTCCAACTGACTTGGCAAATGCTTTCAACTATTTGGAGGGCCGCGTATGAAGCATGCAGGGCAGTATGGAATTTGAATAACAATACATTTTACACTAGGACCGATGAACACCACGGAAAAACTTGATAGATTTGGCCGATACTAAGACCGTCCCGATGCGAAGTGACTTTTGGCCAACAGCCCGGCATTCAAGTACCTGAAACCTTATTCCTATCCCTGTCTCTTGCGTTGGCTGTTCTTGTTGCTGTTGGTTTATTAGAAATATGAAATTTATAAAAGTTTTGTCTTATACAGAGTGTCCCAGGAGGAATGGACCAAACTTCGGGAGGGTGTTCCTTATGTTAAAGTGTGCCGATATAACCCAAAACACCTATGTCCAAAGTCGAACGGTTACGGAGATAATGGCCC